AACCGCCAAAAGTGAACTTAAGCCAGAATCATCCTCACTTCGCGCGTTATTTAGAGTATGTCATGCATATTGAATAGCCAGATAACCCTCCATTACGTCAGAGATTGTTTCTCTGACTTAGTCTTTAACATAATTCCAATTTGCAAAAATAAAGCCTATAACTTAATTTGTATGTGTTTATAAAGGTATACATTTTGGAAAATTTGAAATTGCCATTTGTTGTAATGCTTTGTGAAATGTGATAACATGCAGCCGTAAATGGGTTCAGCAAGCAATTGGAATCGCTATGACATACTTGCTTAGTGAAATAACCAGGCAACTGGTATTTTTCGGAAATTTTTCACAAACCTTAGTAAAAAACAAGTCGCCAATAAAAAATGTGCATTATAACAATAATTTCGTTAAACCAGTACAAAAAACTCTGACTGTTGTCGAACCCAATAAAGCCGGATTTCGCCAATACAGTAACAATAGCAACACTCGCCATGACACCATCAGTAACATTTACAACTAGGGTTAAGCCATGGGCAGCTGTAGCGGCAATTGGGACGGCAATAAAACAATGACTACAACGACTTGGAAGATTACTACATTTCAGGTAGTCAAAAGTGATTTTGAGGAAAATTGAATTGAAGTAACGCCATGGGAATAGCATACGCTGCACTAATTATGCCGATTTGCAATCCTCTTTTTATTTCTGTCAGGTGTTCGCACCGATAAAGTTGTCGACAAAAGTGTGTACAATTTAAAGCGGAAAGGTCTTATCGGGACGGCCGTGCATTATTAATGGGAGTCGGATTTCATACAAAAAATTGACTGTTCTTCAGGAATGTATAATTGGTGGGTGTTCCAAATTTCAGTATATTAGTCGCTTATGCTGAAGCAAATTAAAGAGGTGACTGCACCGAGGACCTGATTAAACTATCCTTACGAGGCAACCTACTTATAAAAAAGAAAATAAGTAATGTAATCCATTGCAATAGTAAATATAACTTAACTTCACCGACAAATTCTATTGTATAATTGTGTGATTAGGCTCTATTAGCCAGTGGAACCCGTGGCCAGGTGGCGTTGTGGCAACGTGTCAAAACGTTGAGCTAATGTTTGGCTTCGAGTTCCGTCGGGACGCTGATAGGACCCAGGCTAGATCAAATCTGCTATCCTTGTGGACAAGACAATGACGCGAAGTCGAAAAGGAAATTTGCTTCTAATGAGATACCTTCTGGCAGGCAAGATTAAGTGGAATTCAATTGAAGAGTCAGGTCTACTTATTTGGTTGTGGGAAAAATTCAGCTACCAGTCCTCTATCAATTTATGGTTAGAAGAGCTCTTATTTTAAGAAGTAGATATCTTATTTAAGATCCGGAGCCAATTTAACTGCCAAAACAAAACCCAGATAGTGTGGCCTTTATCTTGGTCTCAGTCTCCTCTTATGGTACAGATGTGGTTTGACCTCTTTTTAGCAACATAATTGCGTTATCAGGATGGCTCCGATGGACACACTCTTGCCTTCGGGTAGGTCTAAATAAGGATGATTTTTGATGGAATTTGTCGAAATGACCATCCTTTTTGCCTGGTTTCTACAGGCTTGAATTCATTGAGTCCTCATCGGCACCGAATGGAGCCTCCTTATTTGATCAACTGCATCTGAGAATGATGATACTCACAAAGAAGTGGGTTGACCTCGTTGTCGCAACTTGGTCTTGTTGTCAGGGAGACTTAGTAGAACTCACCTAGTCCGAAGTCGTCTGCCGTTTTAGTTGTCATGAGTCCCAGCATCTGACAGTGGACTTGATACATTCTCAAACGTTTGGCCGGCATCGTAGTCGGCATCATCAGT